GTCACAGACACACACTCAGACTGTTTTCTTCTTTGAAATCACAGTGGCTCTTTAGTTTTCTCTGCACATATTGGAGGCTATTACATTTGTCTTAAATCAAATACTCAAAAACAGCAGCCTGCTAGCCGTTCTCTCCACTGTGCACTTTAGCTCCACCGCTCACCAGCCACAGTTACAGATCACAGATCTCGGTCCATCTTGCGTCAGCAGGGGTGTCAAATGGTTCCACGGATATAAATATTACACAGCTCATAAGCAAGTGCTTGGGTATAAAGGGTTAGCGTATATATGTACCACACCTAGCTTTAGTTGTGCAGCTTGGATTACATACTGTACTGCTGATACGAGCAGTTTGTTGGGCGATCGGCCAGGCCGTAACATTTGTAAACACAGTTCAGTTCTGACCTCAGATCAGAACTATTTGCAGTCTGCTTTTACGAGTTACTTATTTAATGAGAAATAATGTCACAGAGGAAAAAATAACCGATCAGTAATTGGAGAAATTGATGGGATCTCTGTAGCTGTTCCTTGTGTGACCTCTTAGCAATGTTGCAATAATGAGGTTGCAATTAGCTCTTAATGTATGTGTATTTTGGCAAAGTGATTCAATTATACTCTGTATCATTTAGTCGTCTTTTTATAGAAACAAAATCACTCCTTCACACTGCCTCTGTCTCACGCACACACACACAAACACACACACACACACACACACACACACACACACACACTACACAAAGATCCAGTGGCACATGCCAGAATGACAGAATATCTCTTCCCATCAGCAGCCTCCAGGGCAACTGCAGCATGACAAAAAAACAAAAGATTACAAAACAGCAGCAACTATTTGTAGTCTTCTTACATTTGCACAGGCTTTAAATCCAGAATTACGGTGTAGATTATTAAGTGATTTAATAGTTTTTGGGTGTGTAGAGTCAACTGGAGTCTCTTCCTACAGCTCATCACTCCTCAGAGTACAACAAGCGTCTCCTCAAGGCAGCCCTGAAAGCATAAAGGGTATTTAGGTCACAGTGTCAAATGTCATGTTTGGTTGCAGAGAAGCACTGGAAGAACAGCACAGACTGCAGCAGTTATACACCTCAAACAGACACTCCTGAATCATTTTGTTCTGTTGAAGGGAGGGGGGTAGTGAAAGGGATCACCCCTACTTCTATACTTCTATACAGTACTTCTATTCTCTGTCTGCAGTGGAAAGTACATTTACTCAAGTAATGTACTCAAGTACAGGTTTGAGGTACTCAGTAGCTAAAAAATGGAAATTAAAGTCTTTACTTCTCTTTTCCTGCTCATTTAAAGCTTTACTTACATTGCAGATTCAGGTTATTTAAATAGAATATATAATCAACTAATAGATTATGATGTATTATTATGGATTAAACTACCCAGCAGTACATAAAGTAGTTAAAAGTAGCTCCATATTTACCAACTGCATCATTGAAGGGATGCACACATTAGTTATAAACCAGTAATGTAAAGTACAGTATTCTGACATGAGCCATTCTGCCTAAAGTGTGTGTTTACTTCTGATACTTTAAGTATATTTTGATGCAAATACTTTTGTATGTTTCCTTGAGTAAAAGTTTGAATGCAGGACTTTCATGTATTTTATTTTACCACAACTTTACCGTTAACTGGTTCACAAGATCGAAACAAAGCTAAAAATGAGAGTTAATGTTGGACATTCACCAAGTTTGTCTGGACATAAATCGACTCCAAGTGATTGCTAATGTTGCTTTGTGTCTGCTGGATGTGGAAATAAGCAACTGTTTGTGAATGAGTTATCCTTAAGATGCCATTGACACTGTTGTGTTCACAGCTTCTGTGGCCAAAAAAATGTGTTAATGTAGTTTTAATCCACCACCTGTGTCTCCTCGTGTTCAGCAGGATCGTGTGTGAGGATAGTTATCACTAAAAAAGACTAAAATCAAAGGATTTTGAATCTCTGATTCCATAGAAATGTATTTTAAGTAATCTCCTATCACACACTTTTTCAAGACACTCCTATTTTACAATTTTAATTTATCATAAGATTTTCATTTACTGAGGCTAGTATTATTTATTTTACATCTTAATATAAGTTAATTATTTGATTTTATCTGTATTTGTGGCAGTTATTCTGTCGTAAAAGTGAACTAATATCGTGGAACGAAGCCTTTTTGAAATGTTGTATTCAGTGAATGAAGGTGTTGAACTGGACCAGCAGTTAATACAGTGGCTGAGTGATAGTCAAGAGCATATGTACAGAATTGCCTCTATGATATAACAGTACTGTTGGAATCAAATGTTCAGAAAAAAACCAACAGCTGAACAGTGTTTAGACTGTGTTCAGGTGGGAATTATCGGTCTAAACAATCCCTATATTAGCGCTGCCACCTACCGTACTATTAGCAGCTATGCCAGTCAATTTTAGCAACTATAACCACCGTGCAGGATATATTTTTACATTGCTGGCCCTCTACAAATATATGGTTCCATTAGGGAAACGCCGCACTGAGCTGCTCTTTAATTCCTGGTGGAAACTGTTTGTGGCATCTGCTGCTTTTGGATAATGAGTCAAAAACACCTTTTTTTTTATTGTTTACACATTCAGAACTACCCACTTCATACGTGGTTGGCGTGTTTCCTCAAGTGTGTTTCTTTAATGTGTGTTGAACTGTACAATTGCTTTTGGAAGCTTGTAGCTAAATAGCAGCTGTTGGTTTTTATAACTCTAGCTTTAATGAATGATTTAAGTGTGATTATAAACGTGAGATTTTAGAGAACAGGGTGGACGAGTTCCTGGAAGAGGAGGTGCTGACTGTGTGCGGACAGGTGGAGCTCATCTATCTCAAACAGGGAACCTCAGGAGTCTCTAATTGTTCCAGCGGGAAGCACCTTCCCCACTGAGTCTTCAAGTGGACCAGGGAGCTATTTTCAGCTCAGGGTAAAGTTACAGTATGTCAAGTATCCACAGAGTAATCACAATCAGTAATTCTCCCAGTTAATAGCAGTAGCCTTGAACTACTCGAGCAATCAGATGTCGGGGTTTTTGCCACGCTAGCGGCGTGGCTCTATGGATTGCATTGTCCGTTGTTGGCCGGTCGGTCCACCACTTTTGTCCGGACTGAAATATCCCAACAACTATTGGATGTATGGTGGTGAAATGTCACGCTCACATTCATGTCCCCCAGTACATGACACCTACTGACTTTAGTGAGCCCCTGATTTTTCATGTAGTGCCAGCAGGTCAAATGTTTTCAGTAGACCTTTTTCACAGCAGCCATTTTGACATGAAATAGTAGGGCAAACACAGGTATTACCAGTGATACTAATTAACTGGTAACACCTGTGATTATCCTACTGTGCAAAAGGTTGAATATTTATACTTTTAGAAGATGGATTGGCGTGAAGTTCCCATATGATGTATCCTAATAACTTTCCCCTTAAATCACTGATTTGTGGTTTTGAATACAATAACTATTGGTATTAATTTGGTGCAAACATTCATCTTCCCCAAAGAATAAACTGTAATAGGGTGCCCGGTTAGCTCAGCCGGTAGAGCTGGCGACCTATGTACCGAGGCTGAGTCCTTGCTGCAGCTGCCCAGGGTTCGAATCTGACCTGCGGCCCTTTGCTGCATGTCATCCCCCCTCTCTGCCCCCCTTTCCTGTCTATCTTCAGCTGTAACTATCAAATAAAGGCCAAAAAAATAACTTTAAAAAAAATAATAAACTGTATTAAAGTTGAACTGTGACTGAACTTTTCATCTGGTGCCATCATCAGGTCAAAACTCTAATTTGTTCAGTAATTTATTCATGATTAAAGCACCTGCCAGGGGGAAGCTCACCTGGTAGAGCTGGTGCCCCATGTACCAAAGATGAGACCTTGCTGCAGCGGCACAGTGTTTGAATCTGACCTACGGCCCTTTGCTGAGTCTCACTATTAATTAAAGCCAATAAAAGCCACCCCAAAAAATATATATATATTAAAAAAACTGATATTCCTGCACACACACAGCTATACACAGTGCTAATTAAAAAGCTAATAGTACTAATATGAAAGTGTGCTGCTCCATTGTCTCATGCATTTATATATTCATGGTGTATTTTATTTGTATTAGCTATACTCTGTGCCCAGATTTCTTCTGTTACCTGTTCTTTAATGAAAGCATGAGAAACACAAGGAGAAAGTTCAGTGTTGACTGCTGGTCCAAACAGTCCTCTCTGTCTCTCTGCCACATAGAAACACGTGTGGTGATGGAGCCCTCAGTGACGTGCCAGCAATAACTCATTGTCTTACCGAGGGGCGATAAAAGCATAATTTATTTCTGTCACAGCACAACAGCAGAAAAGGACAGATCCTCTCTCGATAGCTAATAATACTAATGAGCCATATGACCGGCAGCCACCCGCCCCTGGCCTTCATTTCAACATGATTGAATACTATAAACAAGCCCTGTGCTGTGGTATTTTTGGTCAGTCTTAAACGTTTTTTTAAGCCTCCATCTCTAAGGGTTCACATTCAAGGTCCATACTTTGTTTAATTAGGAAGGTTCAAGATCAAGGTTGATAATTAACACATACATAAAGATATGACATAACAACCTATAACAGTTGTAGTTATTCCTTGCCGCTTTGTAAGTAGTTTTATAAGGAGTACGATCTAGACCTGCTCTATTTACGTGTCCTGAGATACAATAATTGTTTTGATCCTGAGGAACTTTCTGCCAATTGCTTGTTTTTTTCTGAGCATCAGTCCAAAACCCAAAGATATCCACATTACTGCCACATATATAAACAAACACAGCAAATCTGCACATTTGAGTTATGTGCTGGAACTATTTCTTGATTGAGGATTCTTTTGTATGGATCAAACAAACAATATATAATGTGTTCATTTGTCAACTTTAGAGGTTCCAGTTTGCAGTCAATCTTCCCATCAAGAAAGCAAATAATTTTTAGTGCATGATTTGTGAATTATGCTGCGTCTGTCCCCTGCAGGACGACCCATGCAAAGGCCAAGTCAGATGCAGCTGAACAGGCAGCCCAGGCCTCCAACAGTGAGTCCAGCATCGCCAGACTGGTGGCCAAAGAGCTCTCCCCGTCCTTCTACCAGCCAGGTCAGTGAACAACATCTCCTCTGAGATCAGCACTGAAATAACATGGAGAAACTTTACAGCTATTAACTCGATGTTACCTCCGTGGAAAAGGGAAAACACAGTGTGGAAACAACTGTATGAAAATCTCGATCACTCAAAGCACAAACACTTTGTCATGAATTAATTTTCTTCTACAGTAGAAGTCTCATATTTACCATCTTTCCCAAGTGACATGAATGCGCCACAAAATGCACAACACAGACAAAATCCTGTCTGTAGCTTTATATTTGTGGCTTCAATACAAACACTAAGCACTGACATTAATATTTTGCTCAGCTGGAGCAGAGATACAACACTTTCCCCACTTATGACATTTATGTGAAGGCGACTGTAAATATAAACTGATAACTTCTAACCACTCATCTAGTTTATAAAGTGTCCGTGTGCATACCTCCAGCTTGAGCTAGCGGATCCTTGGCTCAGACTCCCCACAAGGGTAGTCGCATTTGAATGTCTAAAAAAAGGAACATCTTATTGGGTCGAGGGGTTCGTATCGGTTTCATTGCGGGTCTGGCGACACACACTTACACATTCACACGAAAGCAGCCCAGCCATTTAGGAGCCTCTTGCTTCTCCCTCGGCAGAGAGCTTAAAGGAATCAGACACAGACAGACAGTCATCCAGCTTTCTGAATGGCTGCCCGGATTGTATCTGACTAATACTACAAATGGACGAGGCCTGGCTGAGTCCTGCTATGCATTCTTCCATGAAAGATCTCTCACCAAGGAGACAACAACACAGGCATACAGAGTCATTGTGTGCACCATCTGGTTTAATTATACTTGGGGGGGGGACAATGCTTTAGCTTCACAATTTACTGGATAAGTATTATTATTATTTTCATTTTCAGCAAATCTCATGATAATATAAAAACTGACAATGAATGTTTAACTAATAAGTATTAGGGGAAAGAAGATGGCTGGTTGCTCTGTATACTCAACTGTAGATCAAATGTGACAGCGAATAAACAGGGAGGCAATCAAGATACCCAAATAAATGTAAATGAGGAAGGAAGGAAAGCCTTTATTGCAGTGTCATTGCTTTAAACAAACAACACAAGAATTGTACAGTACCTATATTTAGGCTTTTTTTACAGAAAATGTTTAGATTATTTCCTCATTGAGACCTGGTTACTTGCAGTAACTAATAAGTATTGTCTTATTCCTCTGTGCCGTAGGGCATTGCTGCCCTAAAAGACTATTAAAAGCACATCAGTGAGCCACTCTGTTGGTGAAGTGTTCCTGTATTACTATGAACATGGGTAGTGTAGTTTACTTTGAGTGGATTTACCACATACACATGGGCTGTGGGGACTTCTATTTGAGTAACATTTGCTAAAACCTACAGTGACCCCCAAATAATATTTTAGTTATATTTGTGACTAGTCAGCTAAATATAAATTAAAAATAACACAAGATATGGAGAGACTTTAATGCATTATTCGTCATCAGTTCATGGGGTTTGTTGACAATAACAAGAATATCATATTACAAAGTTTTACAAACAAAAACATTTTCACTTTTGTCAGTTTTTCTTAAAGTGAAGTGGTTTTCTTTGGCAATTTTCACTGAAATTCAAGCAAAAAATAGCCAACTTGTGAAAATGTGCGCTGAAGTTGAGAATTTTTAGTAAGGGATACAAACTTTAACTCAAGAGCTGCTTCATGTGGTCACAAGAGTGTAGATTAGGGAGAGAACGGGATAATTATAAAGCTGATCTCTAAAATGTTAGGGCTCTCCTCCTGTAGCTAATTCCTGACATGTTAGATAAAGGAAATGTGTCTTGTTTGAGTATAGCAGAGGATTATTATGTATAAAAAGTACATTTCTGAAAGTCCAGAAGTTATTCCCTTCTGTAGTTGACTGTAATAATAACTATGATAACTCAAAAACAGCAGAATTATATTTTTATTTTGTACTGACACTATTAATTTCACATAAAAATGCTAATAAAACACTATTCCACTGATCGAATTGGTCTCTCGCAGGTCCTGAGTATCTGAAGAAACGGGTGTTACAGGAGGTCGCGGAGGGCAGTGAGAACACAGACACTGTCATGCACGAGCCGCTGCTGGCTGAGGAGGAGCCCCTGCCCACTCCACCCGAAAGCCCACTCATGAATGAACTGGACAGCCTCATGCCTGGCTCATCCCCAGGCCGCACCCCCTCCCCCAGCCGAGGCATCATCAGCAAGGAGGACCCCAAACTCCTCAGTCCAGGAAGCTGGAACGAAGACAAAACCAGTAAAGGTGGGGGCAGTAAGGGCAGCAGTAAAACCAACAGCAGGCCCAACAGTCGCCCCACCACCCCTTCAACCTCCGTTTCTGCTCCTGCCCCGACCGCACCTGAGGGTGGAGGAGCCCCCGGCAGTCGCGGCCCCTCTCGCACCCCCAGCCGTCAGAGCAACAAGAACGAGCAGGGCTCTGACCTGGAGATCAAGCCCCTGCAGAAGTTTGACTCCGAGGCAAAAGCTCCAGACGTTGCTGCTGCTGCTGCTGCTGCTGCCCCTGTAAGGAATAGCCTCATCGCTCCAGATGAAGAAGAAGCACCGCGCCCCACCTCCAGAGTGCCCTCGAAAGCGTCCCTAAAGGCTGTCACCCCCGAGCCTAAACCCGCCGAGGTCAAAACTGAAAGAGCTCCATCGGTCCACGAACGTGTGCCGTCCGTCTCTGTGGAGTCCAGGGAGGTGAGCAGGCCCTCCAGCAAGACAGAGACAAAGCCTTTACCAAAACGGCAGCCCAGCCCAGCTCCGTCCCCAAGACCTGCTCCCAATCTTGAACCTAAGACAGTACCAAAGCAAGTGGAAGCCAAAGCCATTGTTGCCAAACCAGCCCCAAAGGTGGATCCCAAAGCAGAAGCCAGGCTCAAGGCCGCAGTGTCGAGCCCAAGCAGTGAGGTGACTGCAGAGTCTTTGGAGCTGGAGGTAAGACAGTAAATATACACGTTGACTCATATTTCATTATTTTTAGGCTTGTTAGCAGCGTAGCTATAGGGTCGGCAATGTCTGTCAGTCAGTCCGCCACTTTGGTCCAGACTAAAATATCCCAACAACTATTGGACAGGTTGCCACAACATTTGGTACAAACATTCAGTCCGACTGACTTTTCCTCGAGCGCCACCATCGGGTTGACATTGACGGCTTTGAGTAAAAGGTGTCGACAACCATATACAGACATTCATGTTCCCCTCGGGATGAACTGTTATAGGTTACTTTTTCCTCTAGCGCCATCAACAGGTCAAAATGTATGTCCAAACATAGACTCTCTTAACTTTAGCTTAAGTTTGACTTGGACATCATCCAAAGCCATAATGGTAAAGTTGTTTTATCTCATCGAAGGAAAGCACTTCATTATAATTTATAATCCCATAAAGTGCCAGTTAGCGGTCATACTGAATTCTTCTCCCTTTCATTATTGCAGCATTGTACAGACTGGTCTTTAGTTTATGTATTTGTGGGATAGAAACTACATTAAATAAGTTAAAACCACCTAAAATGATTGTACCATTATGAATTATTTCCTCTTAATTATTTGGTTTTCCTATTTGCTTTGTAGCGTTAGTTGAAAAAATCAATATCACCCTCTTTGTGGTTTGTATGTTAAAGCTAAAGCCAGGATACGTTAGCTTAGCTTAGCATAAAGACTGTAAACAGGTGGAAACAGCTAGCCAGACTCTGTCAATATGTAACAAACTCCAACTGCCGGCACCTCGAAAGCTCACAGGCGAGATTCAATGTGTTAATTAGTGAACATGCTGGTGGACAGAGCCAAGCTACAGAGTATCAATCTTTTCATCTAACTAAATGTACTGTTCCCTTTAACCTGTAATTGTCCTCTAATTCTACACATTCAGAAGGTGTGAACCCTAACAGTAAGCCTCTAGTCCTTCTGTTGAGTTTGTTCTGCTGTTCCTTTCTTTTCAAGGGCCCAAACACCATAATGATCTGCATGGTTATCCTGCTCAACATCGGCCTGGCCATTCTCTTCGTACACATTTTGTCATGAGACATCGTCCACCTCCTCAGGTAATAAATGTGACGTCCGAAAAAAAACCTGCTGAATACAAAGAAAAGTGACACAGTGAAAATGAAATCTACAATAAACATCGCCTTTGCGGTACGTGAGTGACGAGAAGTCCTTTAAAATGAACCAATGTTGTTCTGCTGCAGGTCACCAGCTGTGTTGGAGAGAGACGGCCTGCCTCCTCCTCAGTTTGGACCCGAGATCAGAGCGACCGCTGAGGATTTAAAGAAGCCTCGTTCAGACAGCCGCAAGCTCCTCTAAAGGTTTTTGTTGGTGTGACTGTGTGAGGCTCTGTGAAGCTCCTCTCTTCCCAGAGGTTTGACAAAACTGAAGGACACTTGAGTGACTGAAACGATTCAGTACATCTGAATATGAATATGAGGATGTTTGTATGTTAAAGTCAGGGCGGAGGGTGGGTGGGTGGTGGGTGGTGGGGGGGGGCCGGAGGGGAGAGTATGTTCTCGGTGCTTACACTGGAGATTCAGGGTGGCGCTCAAGAAGTCTCAGTTCAACTTCAATCACAGTGTGTCACAAGTGTGTCGACATTTTACAACAATGGAGAAAAAAAAGGCTTTTTAACTCAACCGTTATCTGGCACACGCTGGCTGGCTCGCACAACACCGAATCAGACAGAGTTAGACTACTTCAGTAGATAATTATGTTTTTGTCACGACATACGTTTGTTTGTATTTTGTAATCGCCGGCTGAAGGAATGTTGATAACATATGCAGACTGAATTTTCTCTCCACTATACCCTTTAAACTTGATCGTTGAGACACGAAGACAACTGCAGCAGACGTGTGAAAGCTTAGGGAGTGCTGAACTGTAACTGTCGTTGTTTTAATTATCTGCAATGGGATTAAAAAAGCTGAATAAGATTCATTAGTTGGAGTCTGAAATGTGCGCGTCAGTCGTATCAAGTAGCTGTAAAGATACTGTAATCCAATGCTACTGTAAAGCCAGGTTATTGTTTTCATCTTGTTGCTCTTCACTCTCTTAAAGAAAAGACTCATGACTCACATTTCAGCTAATTATTGCGCCCTGCAAAAAAATCTGTATTTGAGACTGTGGTGTACTTACACTGTGAAACTTTCTATTTTCACTGGGATTTATATGCATTTATTGTCATTCTGCTGCTTTTGTTTGGGAGCTGATAAACCAAATAATGAAGAAAAAATAGGAAGCTTATGAGTGTCACTGCTGTTGTGTATGTACTGTATGTCCACTGTATGGAGGGTGGGGGTGGGGTGGGGGGGTTAAATGAGAGTTGTGTATGTTTTGTAATAGGATAAGCAGGTAAAAACCGGAGGCTGGGATTTATCTTATTTAAAACAATCACTGTACGTAGTAGGAAGGTTGCTCAATCTCCGGATGTATATGGATATACAGCAGGAGGTTGGGTTGGGATGTGTTTGCCTGTGAGCTAGTGTAACCTTCTTGGTTTCATGTATGTTTCAGTGTCCACACTGTTCCACCGCATTATATTCAGGGCCTGTTGTGCTTTAGAGCCAAATGCGAGTTCAACTTTTGTACGCATGAGGGCACTTTGCGTGTCTGTATTTTTGTACCGTTTTGAAGTGCACATCTTTTCAGCAATCAAAATATTCTCTTTTTTTTTTGTCAGAAGAAATATGCAAACCCTAAATTTATTTATTTCCCAAAGGAGTCGGATTACCTCGTGATTGTGAGATGGAGAAAAAAATATATAAAAGGTTCTTAACTCCATGTCTTACATTGAGAAGAGCACTCTCCAGATGTGCTGTTTAATATTTCTCCATTGTTCTTCTAGCTGTTAATTAATACACAGGTTTTAAAAAGAACAAAAGGGGGTGTTTAGCTGAGATTGTTTTGCCTTTGAGTTTGCAAATTAACCCAGAGGCCACTGGTTGTGCGTTGTTTTCAAGCCAAAATCTCCCCCAGATAGTTTATGAATACATGAATCAATAACAGAAGAGACACACTGACAGTTGAACTCAATGCTAAGTGCAATAAACAGTATCCATATAGGCCAGTTTCATGTAGAAGCCATTTTGTTTTGTCTGTTTTTGGTGCGTTTAATGAAATCAAAATAACATTGCAGAATTTGAATAAATGCAATTGTGTAACCAAACAAAATTACAAAAGCTGAAATTAAATAAAAACTTTTACAACACTTGTGAATGTGCTTTGTTTCGGTGAATCAGTCGGGTTAAAGGTCTTTTGCCCGTGTGATGTTTTCTAAATGTGATCCATGATTTTCATACAATACCGGTCATTATCCAGAAGAAAATCCAGTCTAGTAACAGCAGAACTAAGTATTTTTAAACACCACCTGTCGGCCAGCATGAGAATTCCCCTATCCCTCCCCTGGGCCAAAGTGAATACCACACCCTATTTTAAACCAGATCGGGGGGTTAGGCCTCGGTTCTTCTCTGCAGTTCTCACGTAAAGCAGATCGCACCTTGAAGTGGTCGATGAGAGATCAGGAAATGCTACACTGAAAACATCTGATGCTGTAAAGTTAATAGTTTGAACTACAGGCTGCCTGCAACAGTTTGACATTTAGAGTAGTTCACCAGTTCAGCCTGGTGTCAAACATCTGTTGAACACCACTGCCCCCCAGTGACTGAATGTAGTGGAGCAGCAAGATCATCTCTATACTCAAAGTGTTTTAGAGCTTTTAAGTCAGTCAAATTAATATAAACCCATTAGTCATATAGGCTGCATTAGATATTAAACAGGCTTAGAGTATAGAGTGAACTGCTCAATTAAAAATGCTCTCCAACAATAGTTCTGCCCTGTGGAATGGGTCAATTAAAAGACAGTAAACAATAGTTCAGTCAATGAACAATTTTTATTCTTTTTGACATAAAAAAAAACAGATCAGAGATCAATACAAGGGAATGTATGCCATTTTAATACTCCTCCCCTTCATCCTCCTCTCCCAGACTATCAGTTCCGACCTCCTCGTAATCCTTCTCCAGAGCCGCCATATCCTCTCTGGCCTCAGAGAACTCTCCCTCCTCCATACCCTCACCCACATACCAGTGAACAAAGGCCCTCTTAGCGTACATCAGATCGAACTTGTGGTCGAGCCGAGCCCAGGCCTCTGCAATAGCAGTGGTGTTGCTCAGCATGCACACAGCCCTCTGGACCTTGGCCAGGTCTCCACCAGGAACTACGGTGGGCGGCTGGTAGTTGATGCCAACCTTGAACCCAGTGGGGCACCAGTCCACAAACTGGATGGAGCGCTTGGTTTTGATGGTGGCAATGGCAGCGTTGACGTCTTTGGGCACCACATCACCACGATACAAGAGGCAGCAAGCCATGTACTTGCCGTGGCGAGGGTCGCATTTCACCATCTGATTGGCCGGCTCGAAGCAGGCGTTGGTGATTTCGGACACCGTTAACTGCTCGTGGTAAGCCTTCTCAGCTGAGATAACAGGGGCATAGGTGGCCAGAGGGAAGTGGATACGGGGATATGGCACCAAGTTGGTCTGGAACTCTGTCAGATCAACATTGAGGGCGCCGTCGAAGCGAAGGGAAGCAGTGATGGAGGACACGATCTGACTGATCAACCTGTTCAGGTTGGTGTAAGACGGACGCTCGATATCGAGGTTCCTGCGGCAGATATCATAGATGGCCTCGTTATCCACCATGAAGGCACAGTCAGAGTGCTCCAGGGTGGTGTGGGTGGTCAGGATGGCGTTGTAGGGCTCCACCACAGCGGTGGACACCTGAGGAGCTGGGTAGATGGAGAACTCCAGCTTGGACTTCTTGCCGTAGTCAACAGACAGACGCTCCATCAGCAGGGAGGTGAAACCAGAGCCGGTGCCACCTCCGAAGCTGTGGAAGACCAGGAAGCCCTGAAGGCCAGTGCACTGGTCAGACTGAGGACAGAGAGAGAGAGAGACACCAATTACATATGAGATACAGTAATGTCATTTAATTTGATATTCTGGAGAAAAATCTGAATTTCTTCTGCTCTGAATTTACCAGCTTACGCAGCCTGTCCAGCACCAGGTCGATGATCTCTTTGCCGATGGTGTAGTGTCCGCGGGCGTAGTTGTTGGCAGCATCCTCCTTGCCGGTGATCAGCTGCTCAGGGTGGAAGAGCTGGCGGTAGGTCCCAGTGCGCACCTCATCTAAGAGGACAAAAAACAGACATTGCATCAGTTGTGGTTTATAATTATCAGATATTTAAATTTCCTTTTGCCTGAATTAATGTTCAGCTAAAGAGAATTACACTTACCGATGACAGTGGGCTCCAGGTCCACAAAAACAGCCCTGGGGACGTGCTTTCCGGCTCCAGTCTCACTGAAGAAGGTGTTGAAGGAATCGTCTCCTCCTCCAATGGTCTTATCACTGGGCATCTGTCCGTTCGGCTGGATCCCATGTTCCAGACAGTAAAGCTCCCAGCAGGCATTGCCAATCTGGACACCGGCCTGACCGACGTGCACGGAAATACACTCACGCTGGAGGAAAGACACGTAAAATCTGTCATAAAGGATTTATAACAGAAATAAATAAACACTCGGCTGGCTGAAAAGCTGTGTTTAGAAGTTTCTTGTGAAAAGTGGAACTAATCTGACACCTGAGGCGACTCATCACATGTTGAGAACTGATGCAATATCTACGGAGGAGAAAAAAGGCTCTTTTGTGAAGAACCAGATACCACATGATAATGACTGAGTCACCTGACCACATGTTGCACATTGATTAACCCTTAAGAAAGACATCACAGAGAGGCTCATTATTCAGACATACAATGTGCTTAAAGAAACCTTGAACAAACGCTTTCCACATTAAAGTCCTGCAGTGGAAGAAAACAAACACAGCTGTACTGACTTTAATACAAAAGTTATAGGCCTGCACAACATGAAAGATTAAATATAAAAAAGCCCCCATAAGGCTTTTAGTGAATGGGTTTTTGTGTGAAAAGCTTGTGGTTGCAGTTTCATAAAGGGCCAGGCCCCTTCAAACAGGAATGTTTCAGGATGAAAGCACATTGACCTTCGCCAACTGGGTCAATATGCAGACAGAAAGACCGGAAACTGAAACCAGACTGAACTTGAATTGGGGCTGGGCCCCGAGTTACACTTAGTAAATACGACACATTTTTTTTTTTTTTTTTTGTTTCACATATAAACTCAAAAGCAGCCAGTTAAGTTGATAATTAAACTTTTTCCCACATGACACACTTTAAAACCTTTAAATTTGCTTAAATCAACACATCATAATTGAAGAAAAAAAACGTAATATATATATATATATATATATGAATACTCACCATGTTTCCTGGAGTTGTGAAAGTGTCGGAGTTTGGATGAGGAAGAGGAAGAGAACAAGTTATCTCTCACAGTTAGGCCTTTATGTGTCCTGTGTAAGAAGTAACTGCTGTGTTGGAGCGGGGCGGGGCCTTTTATACTCTCTGGCCGGAGGAAAAGTTCTGGCGATTCTGATTGGCTGTCGGGTGTCACGTGGGGGCGATTCCTATTGGTGGAAAACGAAACAGTGACTCCGCTGCGACGTGCCACGAGCTCTGTAGGAAAGTAGGCCAACCGACAGCGTGATTAAGACCGGAAGTGAAGACCTTTTAAAGGGATTTTTGATCCTTTACCGTCTTTTATTTGTATCGCCTCTTTAAAAAAATGCATAAATAAATACATATACATAAAGTATAACTGTTTCAGATTCGCTGTTTCTTTTGTGTTCTCGAAAATCGGCTGTTTTATGTGGTTTTTTTTTCTTTTAAAAACCAACAAACAGAAAGAAGCGCTCAGCAGTGATGGAAAGTAACTAAGTACACGTATTATATGTAACTTAGTTGTATTAAATGGACGCCTTTCTAGTCTTCTGACCACTCAAAGTGCTTCACACACATTCCTACGTTTGCTCATCATCACAAATAGATCGGGGATCGAACCGCCGACCTTCTGATTAGTGGACCACCTCGACTCCTGAGCCTCAAGCCTGATTATATAGTCGGGACACAAAAGAATTAAAGTTACAGAGAACAATATGTAATCAGGTCACAGTTGCATTAAGTAAAAATGGGGATTATTTAGCAGGATTACAATTTTAAAACACACTGAGCAGATGACACATTTTTGATTCCAAAAATCTTCCATTTTCCATTGTTTGCGTTTCTTCAATGGTTACATTGTTCTGTTGTCTTATAGAATATATTTGCATAAATAAATCTTACTAACATTGTCTTTTCTCTTGTCTTTATTTACATATTTGGTGTTGAGGTCACCCAAGAGTAAGTAAGTAAGTACATTTACTCATGTACAGTTTTTAGATACTTTTACTTGAGTATTTCCAGTTTTTGCTACTTTATACTTTATCCGCTACAGTTCAGAGGTAAATGTTGTACTTTTTACAAAATGTATTTGTTAACTAGTTACTTTGCAGTTTCACATGATTAATACCAAATACTATCAACAGATAAATTGCAATGTATTATTAAAGTCATGTACACATGCATCCATACCAGTATTTATAATCAAATTATATAATAAATCTTATGAAATTGGCCATTGTGCACCATGAGTACTCTTACTTTTGGTACTTTAAGTATATTTTGATGCTTTTACTTAAAGAAATGTTTGAATGCAAGACTTTTATTGTAGTATTTCTACACTGGGGTATTTTTAGGTTACTTTTACTTAAGTAAAATATCTGACTATTTCCACCACTCATATTCAGATCCTTGACTTAAGTAACAGTAGCAATACAACCTTAAACTCCTGCATTCAAATGTTGTTTATCAGCAAAATGTGCTTAAAGTATCTAAAGTAAAAGTATGCCTTCTACACAAAAAAAAACCCTCTGGCTGATATTTTATTGTATTATTTAATCTTGATACTGAGGCACATGGTCAAGTTGGAGCTTGTTTTAAATACTTCACATACAGTTAAGTAGTTCAATCCAGTGTTTCCGACCTCGCAATCTCTTCCTGATGTGTGAATTTTTCTGCTCTAAACTTTAGTTTCACCACCAGAGGTCCCCATTTATTTACAAATCGTCAATTTCTTAACCTGCTTGATTTCATATTTAGGCTGAATAATATTTCATACATTGGATACTTTTACAGTAAAGTTCTCCCTGGATGCATCCACAAAACATTTAATACAATCAGAGACTTCATTTTTTTGGTTTGGATGTATTCTTCATATTAAACATACGTCACTAATTTGACTTTCCAATCTGAATTTTGTGAAGTCACAAAGATTTTAAACTGAAGCAATGAGCTGTTCTTACCAACAGTAGTGAAGGTATGTATTAAAGAGTATAAACAGTGCAGTGAATGAACAAACTTTATTTTTAACACTAGAGGCACAGATCAAAGATCAATACAAGGAAATGTTTAATACTCCTCCCCTTCATCCTCCTCTTCCAGACTATCAGCTCCAACCTCCTCATAATCCTTCTCCAGAGCCGCCATATCCTCTCTGGCCTCAGAGAACTCTCCCTCCTCCATACCCTCACCCACATACCAGTGAACAAAGGCACGCTTAGCGTACATCAGATCAAACTTGTGGTCGAGCCGAGCCCAGGCCTCTGCAATAGCAGTGGTGTTGCTCAGCATGCACACAGCCCTCTGGACCTTGGCCAGATCTCCACCAGGAACTACGGTGGGTGGCTGGTAGTTGATGCCAACCTTGAACCCAGTGGGACACCAGTCCACAAACTGGATGGTGCGCTTGGTTTTGATGGTGGCAATGGCAGCGTTGACGTCTTTGGGCACCACATCACCACGATACAAGAGGCAGCAAGCCATGTACTTGCCGTGGCGAGGGTCGCATTTCACCATCTGATTGGCCGGCTCGAAGCAGGCGTTGGTGATTTCGGACACCGTTAATTGCTCGCGGTAAGACTTCTCAGCAGAAGTGACAGGGGCATAGGTGGCCAGAGGGAAGTGGATACGGGGATATGGCACCAAGTTGGTCTGGAACTCTGTCAGATCAACATTGAGGGCGCCGTCGAAGCGAAGGGAAGCAGTGATGGAGGACACAATCTGACCAATTAGCCTGTTCAAGTTGGTGTAAGACGGACGCTCGATATCGAGGTTCCTACGGCAGATATCGTAGATGGCCTCGTTATCCACCATGAAGGCACAGTCAGAGTGCTCCAGGGTGGTGTGGGTGGTCAGGATGGCGTTGTAGGGCTCCACCACAGCGGTGGACACCTGAGGAGCTGGGTAGATGGAGAACTCCAGCTTGGACTTCTTGCCGTAGTCAACAGACAGACGCTCCATCAGCAGGGAGGTGAAACCAGAGCCGGTGCCACCTCCGAAGCTGTGGAAAACCAGGAAGCCCTGAAGGCCAGTGCACTGGTCAGACTATGGACAGAGAGGGAGAGACACATATATAAGATAAAATACAATGATTTAGTTTGATATTTTAAATAAAAATTACGAATGGATCCCTGGTATCAAGTTCCCCACCAATTTGCGAATCCTGTCCAGCACCAGGTCGATGATGTCTTTGCCGATGGTGTAGTGTCCACGGGCGTAGTTGTTGGCAGCATCCTCCTTGCCGGTGATCAGCTGCTCAGGGTGGAAGAGCTGACGGTAGGGCCCAGTGCGCACCTCATCTAAGTGGAGTTACCATAAATTATAGAAAGATTCAACTAAGAAGAATCAAGAAGCAAATATATTAGCTTTTATTAGAATGCATGTTTAATGAGAGTTTACCAATGACAGTGGGCTCCAGGTCCACAAAAACAGCCCTGGGGACGTGCTTTCCGGCTCCAGTCTCACTGAAGAAGGTGTTGAAGGAATCATCTCGTCCTCCAATGGTCTTGTCACTGGGCATCCGTCCGTCTGGCTGGATCCCATGTTCCAGGCAGTAAAGTTCCCAGCAGGCATTCCCGATCTGAACACCAGCCTGACCAACGTGCAGTGAAATACACTCACGCTGGAGGAAAACAAAGCATGTTACTATCTAAAGAACACACAAGAAACTACTGTGCCATTGACTACCAACTCAGAGTCTCTATGAAGTCTGAAGTTAACTGATTCTTACCAGGATCTGATGCACAACTGCACACTCACCTTACAGAAACAGGATTTTGGTTTGGCTTAAGCTTGAAAATCTTCATTAAGAGTTGTTCAAAAAGAATGATTCATTCAGAAATCTACCACCACCACTACATCGATTACCTTGACAGAAAGTGCATAGTCCTCATTGTACACCGGGAGCTGCAACATTTTCCCGGTCAGCATGCACCCGATCCTTCTTCAACTGTCCACCTTTGTTTCCGTTTGGCATATCCTGCTGCTACTGCTCTGAAGCAATATAGAGAGAGACAGAGAATCCACCTGGTGCTTCCTGCTGCTGATAACCAGGGAACCACCTGTAAGGGTCAGCTGCTTTAACTGACTGACCCACTCCCATAGTGCCTCTACTCTCCCTCACTCACACTCATAGAGGGAGGCGTAGATAGAAAGGCAACACCCCAAATTCCTCCTCCTCCAGGCCCCTGTTCAGTGATCAAGCTAATTAGATCTTTTACTTAGTAAGTAAAAGTACCAATCAAATGATGTAAATTCCACCACAAGAAAGCTCTTTATTCAGAAAACATCAATCGGAAATATCGTGGTAACATTTGTATAAAGAAGATGCATTTAAGTTACGTTTAAGCAGATAAATTCAACACATTTTAAATAAGTTTGGAGAAATGCTGTATATGAGTGTAACTTCAGTTAACTGAATGTAATGGGTACAAATTAACTTAATTTACCTTAACAAATACTTGAGTTACTTCTACTCAAATCAAATATTTTTTGGTTGCTAATGTTAAATGGTTTAAAGCAATCAGTTTCAGTTGAACTAACTCATCAGGTTTTACAGTGTATATTAGATCCACAATTGACCTTTGAAACCCCCAAAAAGCATACAGTTAGACTTGTGGAGGACACTATTCTCAAGTTCTAGTCTGCTGCAGACAATATGAACTGCTCAGAAACTTGACTTCAAAGAAGGTTTGTCTTTCAAGAGACAGAGAGGATCAAGAAGAACAACAACGTACTGGAGAGTTCACAAAGCGCAAAAGGTTTCTGCAGCCAGTTCAGCTTATAAGCTCCTGTGAAAATAATGAGGACACGTTCACTATTGGGAGCATTGGTGCATGCAGGAAAGGATGAGATTAAGAGACGGTGTAATGAGGAGAACAGGAAGGGAGAATGATGGTGGGAGATAAGAAAGAAAAGTGTGTGACTAATGTTGAAACAACTCCAGGGAATAACACGGTGGGAGTCAAGGGGAGGGGAGAATGCTTCATTCTTATGAGTGTTACAAACCCCCATCACCCCCCACTCTTAACCCCTCAGAGGCTCAGCTCGAGTGTGCATATTGTATGTCTGTGTGTGTTTGTGAGTGTGTGTGTGTGTAGCGTAGATTTGAGGCGGAAATTCGCGAAAATCTCCCTTAACCATGGAGTTTCATTTACCCCCTATGGAGGAACTAACCATGTATTTTAAAGGCAGTATAGATGTATCAGGAAGGGTATGAATGAATGAGCCGGGCCTGGCGCCATGAGTGGTCTTAAGGTGGATTTGCCCCCCTTAGTTGTAGTTTTGTACCCTCTGTTTAAGCTTTATGTATCTAAAATGATTGGCCCGAGATACATGTGGCTGTCACTTAGCGGTTAATTTAAAACCGCGGACAGTGCTGTTTGTTGTGTGTAGGCCTCTGGTTCTCAAACTATGCTATGTGTACCTCTTGTGGTACACGACCTGCCACGAGTGGTACACAGAGGAATCTCTGAAATGTTGAACCACTATTCAATTCAATTCAATTCAATTTTATTTGTATAGCGCCAATTCATAACAGAAGTTATCTCAGGACACTTTTCAAATAGAGCAGGTCTAGACCGAACTCTTTAACATTAATTACAGAGACCCAACAGTACCACCATGAGCAAGCACTTGGCGACCAGTTGGGGTGAGAAACCCCGGCGGTGGTGAGAGAGAGAGAGAGAGAGAGAGAGAGAGAGAGAGAGAGAGAGAGGCGAGAGAAAAGACAGACAGACAGACAGGTGCACAGCAACAACAGTATTGGCAATGGCAGTCAAGCAGGACCATGGCAGGAGGCTCCACCAGGATCCATGAGAACCTGTGAGACGAGAAAGCACATGTGTCTACAGTGGCGCAGAAGGGACAAACTAAATACTGGCTGTAGATCAGAGGGCCTTTTTGTTGCCACCATAGGTTCTCCTGCACACTTCACATGGCCTGTCTTCATTCCCAGGTCATCAAATGCAGACGGAAGCAAAAATCTGAAACTTCACATCTAGATGCCACTAAATCCTACACACTGGTCCTTCAAAGGAGTATCTACAGCAGTGGTTCCCAACCTTTTTCCTTAAGGAACTCACTATGTATTATTTAGTAAACTGACAACCCCTGATTAACTCACATATTTTATGGACATTTTATATTATATTCAAAACTGTGCAATTAACCTAAATAGTGAACTCAGTAACTGAAAGAAGCTTGGAGATTATTTCCTCTAAAGGGAATTTTTAATACAATTCTCTGTATTATGTATTTTCTTTCATAATTAAAAAATAATAATACATAGTTAATAGGCTTCTTTTCTGACAGATTCTGTGTTTCTTTGTCCCTGATGCTTTGTTAAATGCTGAGATTTAGGGCTACTGTGTGTATTTTCATTTAGTTTTCTGACGCACCTTAAAATCAAGAAGGCCTCACGACCCCACACAAATCTTTGCCGACCCCTAATGGGGGTCCCAACCCACAGGTTGAGAACCACTGGTCTACAGCATGTGATTGGTTTGTCCGTTCTGGTCTACTGTAAAAACATAGCGGTTAAACATGGCGGACTCCATGGAAGGTGACCTGCAGTGTCTGTAGATAAAAACGTCTCATTCTAAGGTAACAAAAATACAACAGTTCTTATTTTCAGATGACTATACACTAATGAACTAAAACTATATCTATATGTATATTATATAATATAATATTATGTTCTATTTCTGCCACTAGATCCTCCTGAATGTTACACACTGGTCCTTTAAAGGAAATGGGGTGGAAATGGTCATCTGGCAGAAGTTGTGACATTTTGACCTCTGTAAATTAAGAAGTTGAGTCATCCACATACACACACACACCCAGCCACTAAAACCCCCATATCCACCCCCCCGTCCTTGCAGTCTGACAACAAAGTCCCCTTTCCAACCCTGCCATAAGAGGAAGCCAGGGATTAGTGGAGATTATGCTGTAGTGTCTCCATGGAGATTTACTAGGCCACAGTAGGGGGGCGTCTAGACAACATAGAGGAGCGTCTAGGCAACAGTAGGCATGACAGTGGGTTTGGAGTTTGGTTGGATGTATATAGTTTTATGAGACATGTTTTTTTGTTAGTAGACAGATTTCAGCTTTACAAATCTACATTGCTTGCATTGTTGTACACTGAGTTCAGTTAGTTGCAATCTGAAGGGATTCAAAAGCAAAAATCACACCTGAGAAGGCCTGATGCTGTAAAAGTCATTCAGTCCTTAAACTACATCTGTTGAACACCACTGCCCCCAAGTGACTGAAGTGAGCGGAGCAACAAGATCATCTCTACAGTCAAAGTATTTTAGATCTTTAGTGTAGTGTGAGCAGAGTTAAAGGTCTTTGTAGTACAAAATATCACGAAAAACTCTAGAACTCTTCACAAACTAATGTGATACTGCCAAAGACAGCAGCATCTCATTAGCATTTATCAAACTACAGAACAATCTGGATTGCTGTTAGTGATGATATTTTCTTAATTCACTTATGTTTTGTCTATTTGCATGTGTTTTCTTAAGTGTCAGTGTGTTGAGCAGTCAGGGCCACCATATACTGTATTTTAACGTGCAGGTTAATGAAAGCTATTGTCATGAGTGAATGAAAAAAGAGCTATTGTAAGTCCCATTTAAATTGTTTCAGAAATTTTGACTAGCGATGAACAATATGGATATTTTTTCAGTCAATAACCGATAATTGTGTTTTAAAAAGAAGTTAATAACCTGATGTTCATTTATTTTTTCTAGTAAAAGAAATCAAACGTACTTTGTAATTCAAAATAAATCATTATTACTGGCCCATAATTTAATTATCAGAATAATACATAACATAAATGTCCCGTTAACAGCCAATAATTTATCAGCCTTGATATATATCGTGACCAAATTTGATCAGTTTGCCATCGCTGCAATCCAAGTTCGATGGTTAACAAACGCTGACTCAAATTTAAATGTTTGGGTAATTCTCTTGAGCAGT